CTAGATAGCACTTTAGCACAATGCTTGGGGCCACTTTAAACAGTGAAATCCACACAAAAAACTTCAAAAATGCAAAAACATGGCACTAAATAGACAGAGAAAAGGACACCTGTTGACAAAATGAAAGCTGAAACAAGACAGAGCACTGCTTTTGTCCAGCCTCAGCTGGGACCACGTGGGTCAGGCAACTCCAGTTTTTCATCACTTTATTATGTCTGTGAATGACCATGAAAGTGCCACAAGTGTTGATTTTGGGGTTACAAGTAAATTTTGGTGAGTGGGTGCATTCACAAGTAAGGAATCCACGAATGGTGAGGAATGACTGCAATTGCTTTATTAAAGCACCAGTCTTGGGGAAATATGTCCCCACAAATGCAGGGCTTGATTCCAGTAGACTTTTTTGAATTAAAATGTAATTGATTTACAATATTGTGTTAGTTTCAGGTATACAGCAAAGTGGTTCTGTTATTGTTATTCAGATTTTAGTCTATAATAGGCTGTTAAAAGATATTTAATATAATTTCCTGTGCTGTACAGTAAATCTTGTTGCTTATTCATTTTATGTGTAATAGTTTTTATCTGTTTACCCCATACTCCAAATTTGTCCCTCTCTCCCCTCTTTGGTAACCATAAGATTGTTTTCTATGTCCATGAGTCTATTTCTGTTTTGTGTATAGATTCATTTGTATTATTTTTTTAGATTCCACATATAAATGATATCACATAGTATTTGTCTTTCTCTGTCTGACTTACTACACTTAGTAGGATAAGTTCTTGGTTCATCTGTGTTGCTGCAAATGGTAATGTTTTATTTTTATGGCTGAGTAATATTCCATTGTTCGTCTGTATGTACACACACACACATCTTCTTAAGCCATTTTCTGTTAATGGACACTTGGGTTGTTCCGTGTCTTAGCTGTTGTAAACAGTGCTGCAGAAGAGATCAGGGTGCATTTATCTAACTGAATTAGAGTTTTTGTATTTTCCAGATATGTACCCAGGAGTGAGATAGCCAGATAATACAGTAACTCTATTTTTAGTTTTATAAGGAAGCTCCATACGGGTTCTTCATAATGGCTGCACCAATTTACATCCCCACCAACAGTGTAAGAGGGTTCCCTTTTTCCACACCTGCTCCAGCATTTGTTATCTGTAGACTATGATGATGGCCATTCTGACCAGTGTGAGGTGATACCCCACTGTGGTTTTGATTTGCATTTCTCTAGTAATTAGCAGTGTTGAGCATCTTTTCATGTGCCTGTTGGCCATCTGTATGTCTTCTTTGGAAAATTGTCTATTTAGGTCTTCTGCCCATTTTTTGAGTGAGTTGTTTTGTTGTTTGTTTTTTTGATATTGAGCTGTGTGAGCTGTCTGTATGTTTTGGAAATTAACCCCTTGTCAGTTGCATTGTTTGCAAGTATTTTCTCCCATTCCATAGTTTGTCTTTTTGCTTCGTTGATGATTTCCTTTGCTGTGCAAAAGCTTTTAACTTCCATTAGGTCCCATTTGTTTATTTTTCCTTCCGTTTCTTTTGCCTTGGGAGCCAGATCTAGGAAAATGCTGCTATGATTTACGTCAGAGGATGTTTTGCCTATGTTCTCTTTCAGTTTTATGGTATCATGTCTTATATTTAGGTCTTTAAGCCATTTGAGTTTACTTTTGTATATGATGTGTGGGGTGTTCTAATTTCACTGATTTACATGTAGCCATCCAGCTTTCCCAGTACCACCTGTTGAAGAGACTGTCTTCTCCATTGTATATTTTTACCTCCTTTGTCATAGATTAATTGACCATAGGTACATGAGTCCAACAGACTTTTAAGATAGTAAGTGGTTCTTGGCTAAAAGAACATTTGTTCCCCAGTAGCAAGTTACTGAATAAACCTAGTTCTTCATTATAAAAGTTATTTATACAAGAGTGGTTTGAACATAGAAACCTCACAATGAAAACAACGACTGAGCTACCTTAATACCTTAAGACTTCTACCTACATCACTGTTTCCATGGAAGAATGTGTTCCAGATTCCAGCTGAGATGCCAGAGCCCTTCTGCTTGCTGAGTCCTTGGTTCCAATGATGACCAGTCTACCACACGCAGTGTAGGCCTTCGTTTTCCCCTCTAGTCTAGTCCTGGGGCTGGGGGCAGAGCTTAGGAGTTGGACTCGGAGAGTATGAAGAAAAGAACAGGGTTGTAGCTTCTAGAAGAAAGTACTAGGGGCCTTTCCTGGGAAGAGAGATTCCTCAAATGACTCTCAAGAATAACCATGACTTTGAGGGAAGCTGGGGGTGATTGTCAGTACCACCCCAAACTTGACTGAAACCTGAAACTAAAAATGTCGCCCTCCTAGAGTAAAGTTTTGGACCATGTGGTTCATTGATCTGATCCATTAAGGCATCTCCTACCCTCCTTAAGAATTCAAGTTTGAAGGTATCAGTGGTGTTGAAAAACGCAGATGGTGGTCTTCTCTGTTATGAGCCATGGTAGGAAGTCTCTGATCAAGAGGATAAATACCCTGCAAGTTTATATTAACTAAGCAGTATTATTTATACTGAGTGTTTTCCCACAACATTACTACACTCTGTAATATTTAACAGCTCTACATGTGTTTTATGTTCATTTGTGTTGACTTAATGATTAAAAGTTCAAGGTGAAACAGTGATAATTCAGATAGGAAAATATGTGATAGTGTACTGAAACCTTCATGGAACTTAAAAATGAGCCTCCTGTTTCTTTTAAATGAGATTTCTTTGTCTTTGGAGGGAGAGTGACTTTTAATGAGATGTTTTATTAGATTTCTTAAGTTTAATACCTTTTAATAAAGAATAAGGGACTGGGTATTAAATAAATTTTAATTCAGCTGAGTTTTTACAATCCAACCGTTTTACTTGAATAAAATAATTTAGCTTTAATGTATTAATTTAACACAATATATTAATGTTTGACCATTTTTTATCTTAATTTATCCCAAGAAAGAATAATATTCTATTTTTAGTTAATAGAGTTACCTAGCAAAGAAGAAAATAAATCTTATTTTAAGCCAGAACTCTTAAACTTCCTTTCCTTGAATGTTCTCTAAATGGGTTGGGGACAGTAGCATATAAACCTCTTATTTGAAATTGGGAGTGCACACCAGGCTATAAAATGCTCAGAGAGGTCTAGCTGCAAAAGAATTCTTCCAACGTTATTTACTGGATTTCTTATGTTTCTTTGGCTTAGAAACGCTTTTTCCCCAGAAATGTTACCATTTAATGGACTTCATAACTGAGGGACTCAGTTATGGGAATCAGCTTGTTGTAGGCAAATGGCCCTTTTTCTGGGCATCTGGGGAGCTTATGCAACCACCCTGTGGCTGCAGGGGAGGCAGAGCTGAAGCAGCGTACTAGGAAATTAACAGTCAGTTCCCCTTGTTTTCAGGAAGACGAAAAGTATTTTTGTATCTTCTCTAGAAAAAGTAACTAGGTTTATTCTCCGTCACCTCACATGTGTTCTGACTCATCTACCCAGGTGACCAGGTGGCCTAGAACCGTCTTAGGTCCTTTAAGAAAATGTGTAAGGCCTAAGTTACTATTTGTAGTAAATGCTACTTTACAGGAAAAGTTCTTATTTTTAAATAACCTTTTAAATGAGTCATTAATCCTGAAACGCCAGTTCCATTGTAAACCTTTAAACAAATTTAAATGTTTTCTTGACTTAACTCAATGTTTATTACATCCCATAAACTTTAACATTCAAAAAAATCAGCAAAGACACAGGAAGATCACAGGACAGTGGAAAAACAAATCATAGATTGATTAAAGATATAACATAGGAAGAGTTGAGATTTTAAAAACCCACAGGAAAAAGAATTGTGTGTAATTGATTATTTGTAGGTTAATAATAACATGCTAGTCAGTAGAAGAAGTTGAGGCATTTGGTTTGACCATATGAGAATGTGAAATTTTCTGCTTCATTTATAATGCAGCTAAACTAAATATCAAACAGTGGGGAAGCACAGCAAGGAATAATAAAGGGTTAAGATTTATGTTATTAGAATAGCTCTTAAATTTAAAGAAATTATCAGATTCCAGTTAAATAAGTGGAAAAAGGACAAGCAATTCATACACAGGAAGCTGTCATACAACAAAGGAATTGATGTCCTTCAGCTAATATTTTCTGCACACCTGTGCCTTACACTGCACTTGATGTTGGAGTTTCAGTGGTGGAGACGACGTTCTCAGTTCCCTGGCAGAGAGAGGGAAGCAAGGGACACATGGAACAAAGGAATGTGTGGCGTTAGAAAGAAGCCTTTATTGAGGGGAGGGTATAG